CAGGGAGGGTTGACACCCTCCTTGGCAGCCTAGCATTCTCCTTGTAATTGTCATAAACCTTAGACACTTTTATGTAAATTGCTCATAATAATGAGTAAAAGTAAAAAGAGTCAAAAGAGAATTAGTGTGAAGAAGGAATTATGGGATTTGACTCGAGTGGAGTGGAAGCTTCAACTTGTGCTTTCTCTTTTCAAGTTCAGTTGTTGAATTCAGCAAATTGATATTGTTTGGAAGAACCTACAGCTAACTATTAATTTTGTATTCGTACACACGATTTAAGCAAAACGAATTTACTTTGCTATATTGACATATATAGCTCCTATTTGAGCCCATCCGCCCCTCCCCCTTTGGGAAAATGTGTTTTGAAATAGTGATGTTTTGAACAATTTCTGGCTAAAAAATAGGGAATTTTTTTGAATTTGTGTATGAAAGAATGTGTAATTGAAAATGAATTTTGAGAAAAATGGTGCTCAAACAACAACTTACTCATCTTAAAAGTCGAGAAGATGAAGGGAGAGGTGCAGCATAAGTTCTTCCTCTAGGGTTATTGCAAGAATTATATTACTTCTTCTAGAGGGGTGTTATTTATTTATTTCTCAAAGGTCAATTTAAACAATTTTATTGAGAAATATCACCTATAACGGTAGCAACATATAAAAGCATACAATCAACCCCAACTATATTAAATTAGGGTAGTGATAGCACAGGAAGCAAGCTTAAGGGTAACTATACTTCACGTACGAGGCACAAAACAACAAGAGTCGACACTTACTATATTCAACAGTACTACAATATCATTTAGAATTAAGGCATTTAGAGCAATAGTTGAGACTATCTAAATATTTTAAATTTCTCGTTGTGCATTGCATTTCTCCACATCAATGAGAAGGCCAATCTTTATAAATCAAAAGCCACATCTCGACGCTAAGGATTCTGCGAACTTTCAGACTAAACACGTTTCTTTTGTATACAGATTAAAGAAGTGAATAATATTTGTAAATCCATGAAATATGTTAGAATTTGGGCGTGACTCGAATTCCTTGTTGAAGTAATCGAAGAATTCTAATTAAAGTGCACATCAAGAATAATTCAGTTTGGAATACTATTAGAATCCTATGTCAAGTTGAAGCTTTATTTTGGAAACCCATTAGGAGTTGTAATTTGTTTTGGACTTGATTTTTTGGTATCCTACTTCATCAACAACTCTACTAGGAAGGTTTGGACATCCCTTATATGTTTCCTATAAATAATAGGCTATTCTATACAATTTTATGGTGTGAGAAAATAGATTACTAAAATTATATGATTTATTATAATTTTTATCTCTTCTCCATTGTTCTTGAATCAATAAAATCTCTTAATTCATCTGTCATATTCTTGTTTTTATTATTCTTTTACTTGATCATATACTTCATTATTATTTTTCATATAACTTCAACATCTCAATCCGGTGATTTGTTTCACAACAATTGGTATTAGAACTATTCTAGTATCTTGATTGTTTTTATTATATGATCTATTGTGATATCTCTCTTCTCCATTATTCTTGATTCAATAAAATGTCTTAATTTCTCTGTCATATTCTTGTCTTTATTATTCTTTTACTTGATCATATACTTCATTATTATTTGTTATATAACTTTAACATCTCAATTCGACGGTTTGTTTCACAACAATTGGTATCAGAGCGCCAGGTTTAGCAGTTTCGCAAGAGTGCAATGTTTAATTTGTTTTCGAGGTTTTTTATTTGTGATGGCTTCCATGAAGTATGACATTCCGCTTTTAGATTGGAGCACTAGATTTTCACTATGTCAGGTTAAGATGCGCACAATTGGATTTGGATGATACGTTGCTGGGAATTGACAGGATGCCCGCAACTTTAATTGCAAAGGAGAAATTACAGAAGGATAAGAATGCAGTTTCTCATATTCATCTTCATCTATCAAATACTATTCTTCAGGACGTTTTGAAGGAGAATTCAACGATGCTTTATGGTTGAGGTTGGAGCAATTGTGCATGACTAAAAGTTTGACAAGCAAGTTGGACCTCAAGCAGCGTTTATACTCTCATCGAATGGCAAAAGGAGGATTATTGAAAGATCACCTGGTTGTATTTAAAGAGATCGTCGCTGATTTAAAAATTTTGGAAGTAGAGTATGATGAAGAAGATTTGGCCTTGATCCTATTGTGTCCGTTGCCCCGTTTCATTTTCTTCATTTAGAGACACGATCTTGTATAGTCGTGATACTTTCATCATAGAAAAAGTATATGATACTTTGTATTCAAAAGAGAAGATGAAGCATCTGGTTTCTGACATTGAGTCTAAACCGAAAGATACTTGGATTCTTGATTTAACATATGTGTTTTATATGTGTCATAATAAAGACTTGTTTGCTACATATAAAACTGTTTCCAAATGTGTCGTGGTTATGGGAAACAATGCATCTTGTCAGGTTGTTAGAATTTATATAGTCGGATTGAAACTTTTGGATGAGATAATTAGAACACTTGTCCAGGTTCAACATGTTCCAGATTTGAAGAAATATCTCATTTCGTTGTCTATCCTTGATTCAAAAGGTTATGAGTTCTTTGGTGGATGTGAAATTTTGAAGGTTTTTAAGGGTACCCAAATTGTATTGGAGGGATAGAAAATGTCTCAATTATACATCTTGTAGGTTCGTGCAGAATTTAGAAGAGTCAATCAGTACAAGTTCAGGAGCGTGGTGGACATTCAATTTGGTACAATACATTTAGGAGCTCATAAATGGTCAGATTTGAATAATACAGTTCAGTGGAGTTCAGGAGATATGGATAATGCTGCTTTGCCACCATATCCTGTGGTGCCATTGTATTCAATTGTTAGGGACATACCTAATGGAAAATGATATGTGGATGCTGATTTTGTTGAACATGTTTTAAGTAGAGTAGAAGGTGTATACTCTAGCAAGGGGTATTCTTTACAAGTATTTAGGTTTGATTCTGTTTTTGGGGTGTGTTACAACCCATTTTGATTATTTTAAAATCATTATGATTTTTTGGGAATCTGAGATAATTTTGCAGAGTAGTGTTTGGATTTATTGGAAGAGGTGGAGTATTGTGTTTTGTTGGAGAAATTAATTTTTTGGTTATTGTTGAAGAAGCCGTTCATTCTGTGGCGGAATTCGTGTCAAGGTAGAGATTATTAGAATTTGGGTGTGACTTGAATTCTTTGTTGAAATAATTGAAGAATTCTAATTGAAGTATGCATAAATAAGAATTCAGTTTAAAATGCTATTGGAGTCCTTGTCAAATTGAAGTTTTATTTTGGAAGCCCATTGAGAGTTGTAATTTGTTTTGGGCTCGATTTCTTGGTATCTTACTTCATCAACAACTCTACTAAGAGGGTTTGGACATCCCCTATATATTTCCTATAAATACTAGATTCTTCTATACAATTTTATGGTGTGAGAAAATAGATTATTAGAACTATAGGATATATTGTAATTTTTCTCCCTTCTTCTTTTTTCTTGAGTCAATAAAATATTATAATTCCTCTGCCATATTCTCGTCTTTATTATTTTATTATTTGATCATATATTTCATTATTATTTGTCATATAACTTTAACATCTCAGTCCGGTGGCTTGTTTCACAACAAAATATGTTAATAAAAAAACAGTAGACAAACAAAAGGGTGCCTAGTCGCGATCGGTTGAAACGATGGAGATCGTGGCATCCAATCCAAGGCTCCTAAAAATTTTGAACATCTATACCCGGCCCTACCCTCCGTCGAAGTCCCTTAACGAGCAGTTCACAATCTTGAAGAATTCGTTTCCGAATCAAAATGAAGAATCCTGCCTTTGTCTCAAGCTATCAGAAAATCCCCATCTCGAAATTACTTACCCTCCAAATTCCATGTATTCATTGATTATCCATTGTTAAGCATATGCCAAGCTTGTTTTGCTGCTAATGTCTTAGATTGAACAAAGATTTTTTAGTATACTTGAATTTTCGATCTTTGCTAAGTGTAAAAAGTTTTTATTTCCATAACTAAGAAATTAATTATTAAAATGACTTTTCTTTTTCATTTCATTAATAATCCTAAATGATGGAGCGTTTTAAAGAATGAGAGCGAAGACCTCAATTTACCAATGAAACTGCTCAACGAGGAATGGTGGGTCCCACTTAAAATGTATCGAACGAACGTCATAGTTCGATACACGTCACTCTCCCATTAAATTTAATGAAAGTGTCCTTAACTAAGATTTTTTCGAATTTTAAAAGTTCAGAAATCTTAGTCCTTGTTTGACAATTATTATTTGGGGAAAATAAATTTTTGAATAATGGTTTTTAGGATAATGTAATGAGAGGAATATTATTCTTTTGGATAGTGTGTTGTTGCAAAATAAGGAAATTATTTTAGATTTAAGTTTAATATTATTTTATTGGAGAATGGGTAATTAATAAGAAGAGATTGAAAAATGAATTATAATTTAATGGAGAATAATGAGAGCCAAACGGGGGCTAAAAGCCTAAAAAAATAGAAAAAGATTTAAGTTTACATGCAAAATTTTTTATTGTGTTAATGTATAGTTGTAAATAAGTATGTATAAAAAAAGAATTTAAAAATAATGATTGTCAAATGTAGACTTAACGAATTTCATAAATTTAAATAAATTTTCACAAATTTCATAAAATTTCATTTATAATGGTGAAATTTTAAAAGATTTTGCTATATGTGTTTTCAAACTTGAAATCCATCAAATATTTTCAATTAATGAAATTCGTTTAAATTCACTGGTTATTAAAAATACTTAAATTTTAAAAGATTTCATCGAAACTAATTAAATTCTAAATTTTAAAGAATTTTATTAAAATTTATTAAAATGGATAAGAAGTTTTAAAATCCATCAAAACAACCCCTATATTTTACACACCCAGTCGTAGGAAGTCTCTAAACCATCTCTTTCATCTTTTACACACTTTGGATTTGGATTAGAATTCAGACAGCTTCCCGGCGAAAATGTTTCCGCCGGAGCTCCAGCCGAGGGCCTTCCGTCCCCACATATCATCCTCTTTGAGCGCCCCGTCTTTCCCCACTACCTCCTACAATGGTGACCAAAACCCTAACCCTAGCCCTGGTTCCTCCTCCTCGTATCATGGCACCACCAACAGCCGCCGCAGCTCTTCCGTCAAGAATTCTCGATTCTCTCCGTCTTCTTTCTTCCACAACACTAGAATCGCTATTTCCTTGGTTCCCTGCGCAGTCTTCCTCCTAGACCTTGGTGGAACTCCGGTCGTTGCTACCCTCACCATCGGCCTCATGATAGCCTACATCCTTGATTCCATCAATTTTAACTCCGGTTCGTTCTTTGCCGTCTGGTTCGCCCTCATTTTCGCTCAGATCGCCTTCTTCTTCAGCTCCTCCCTCATCCTCACCTTCAATTCCATCCCCCTCGCTCTCCTTGCCGCTTTAACCTGTGGGTTGGCCAATTTCCTAATCGGTGTTTGGGTTTCCCTTCAGTTCAAGTGGATTCAAATTGAATACCCTACCATTGTGATCGCACTGGAAAGGCTCTTATTCGCCTCCGTTCCCCTCATCGCCTTGACTCTTTTCACCTGGGCAGTAGTCTCCGCTGTTGGTATGGTCAACGCCGCATATTATGTCATGGTTTTCAATTGTGGTTTCTATTGGCTTTATTCAGTCCCTCGGGTATCATCCTTTAAGTCAAAGCAAGATGTGAGTTACCATGGGGGTGAAGTTCCAGACGACAGTCTAATTCTAGGACAGCTTGAGAGTTGCGTGCACACTTTGAATCTATTGTTCTTCCCTCTGTCCTTTCACATTGCGTCACATTACTCTGTTATATTTTCATCAGCTGCTTCAGTTTGCGATCCGTTCCTTCTTTTTTTCATTCCCTTTTTGTTTCAACTTTATGCATCGACTAGAGGGGCACTGTGGTGGGTCACCAAAATTGAGCAACAGTTGCACAGCATTCGATTAGTCAATGGTGCTATTGCACTGGTTGTTGTCGTAATTTGCTTGGAGGTCAGAGTTGTTTTCCATTCCTTTGGGCGCTACGTTCATGTTCCACCTCCACTAAGTTATCTGCTCGTTACCATTACTATGCTTGGAGGGGCAGCGGCTGCTGGTTCTTATGCACTTGGCATGATTTCTGATGCTTTCAGTTCTCTAGCCTTCACTGCTGTGGCTGTCATTGTCAGTGCTGCCGGAGCAATTGTCGTGGGGTTTCCTATTCTGGTATGCATTTCATATTCAATGACTTGTTGTATTTCAAATTTATGTGCTGTTTAAGGCTCTAATAACTTTAGAAACCCAATGAAACTACAGTTCTTATGCAATTGTCGTCGAGGTGCCTAACTTGCATTGTCAATATGAGATGTATTTGATTTGTTAAAGTTCAATAACTAAGAGCACATTTGGCTGTGCTTAGTAGCACCATTTTTAGGTGCTTTTAAGCACTGCCAAACATACTATATGTTTATACCTTGCTGTGTGGGCTTAATTAAGGACTCCATCGGTCACCCTTAAGCATATATTTTCATCATTTGTAGGTCAAATCATGCAGGTGATTTCTTAATCCAAAAAGTGCTTAGAAGCAAGTGTTGAGCATACTTATAACTTTACTCTTACAAAGTTTGATGGTAACGAACATTTGATTGCTAAGAATGAACAGTCTGAACTGGAAATCATGCCGTTCTCATGTTGTTGGTTTTCATTAAGTAAAGAAGTTGCCATATTAGATTTTAGCTGTTTTGGAAGATTAGAACTTTTGGGTTAAAAATTTCATACCGTTTGTTTATGGGTTGCGAGACATTGTTGCAGAGCATTTATCGTTGTCCAAACTATACTCAAAAAAATATGCAATGCTTGTTTATTGCGAAATAGCCGACAAAGCTAACTTACATTATGATGAGGCTCTTTAGTAGATGCTGCAGTATAATTTTTTGATTGAACCTTTAACTTCATATTGCAGTTCTTTCCACTCCCCGCGGTAGCTGGGTTTTATTTGGCTCGCTTTTTCACCAAAAAGAGTCTATCATCGTACTTTGCATTTGTTGTGCTAGGGAGCTTGATGGTTACATGGTTTGTGATGCATAATTATTGGGACCTTAATATTTGGATGGCGGGAATGTCATTGAAATCTTTCTGTAAGCTTATAGTTGGCAGCGTTATCCTAGCAATGGCGGTTCCTGGTTTAGCTGTTCTTCCACCAAAATTTCATTTCTTGACAGAGGCGGGATTAATCGGGCATGCGATGTTGCTATGCCACGTAGAAAATCAGTTTTTCAATTACTCAAATGTGTACTACCATGGTATGGATGATGATGCGATGTATCCCAGTTACATGATTGTCCTGACTACATTAGTCGGTTTAGCTGTTGTCAGGAGACTTATGGTGGATAATCGCATTGGACAAAAGGCAGTGTGGATATTGTTGTGCCTGTATTTCTCGAAGCTTTCTATGCTGTTTATGCCATCAAAGGCTGTTTTGTGGGTTTCAGCTGTTCTCTTATTAGCCATCTCTCCTCCACTCCTCCTTTACAAGTATCTACTGGACCTTTTTGATTGTCACGATTACCCTTTTTACATCATGTCACACAATGAAAATTATTATTCTTATGCAGGGACAAGTCAAGAACAGCCTCAAAGATGAAGCCTTGGCAAGGTTATGCTCATGCTGCTGTCGTTGCTATGTCTGTGTGGTTTTGTCGTGAGACAATCTTTGAAGCTCTTCAATGGTGGAATGGTAGGCCTCCATCAGATGGTTTGCTTTTGGGCTCTTGCATTCTTTTGATGGGATTGGCTTGTATTCCTATCGTTGCTCTCCACTTCTCCCATGTCATGGTATTAATTTGACTATTACCTAATGTTTTTCTATTTTTAGTAGAAATTTGTGTGCCACCGTGTTTCTTACTGTAACTAAATTAGTAACTGTGTAATTATATCAATTTTGGTTTTCATTCTACATTTTTATGGACGGGAAGTTGATGTTACTAAAGATGTTAGACTCCAACACATCATTATTTGTAGGTTATTGTAGAAAAAAGGTATTTCAATGGCTAGTGCTGCATGGTTTTAATTTAATATGATATAACATATACATAGAAGATAAATACTATCATAATCTGCATGTCTTATTTGATCCTTGGCTGACGGAGTCTATTTTATTTCTCTTTCTTCTTTTGTTTGGTTCACACGATGTGGCATTTGGTGCAGCCTATTAATATCATGTCTCTCATATCATAAAATTTCGATTTGCTGCATCCTAAAAGATAGTAGGGATATTCTCTAAAGAATTGGTTTTATTTTCCAAGCCTTCTTAATATGGTAGTTCGAATGTTGCTAAGTAATCCACTTTTTCTTCGTACTTCCAGTCTGCAAAGAGATGTTTGGTACTGGTTCTGGCAACAGGAGTGCTGTTTATCCTGATGCAGCCACCGATTCCGGTGTCATGGTCATATCACTCAGACCTTATCAGATCTGCTCGTCAATCTGCAGATGACATCTCCATATATGGCTTCATGGCATCGAAGCCTACATGGCCATCTTGGTTACTTATTTTTGTTATCATGCTCACTCTAGCTGCTGTTACCTCCATAATTCCCATTAAATACATTGTTGAGCTGAGGACTTTTTACTCCATTGCCATGGGAGTTGCCCTTGGAATTTACATATCTGCAGAATACTTCCTCCAGGCAGCAATACTGCATGCCCTTATTATTGTCACCATGGTCTGTACCTCTGTATTTGTGGTCTTCACTCATTTACCATCTGCCTCAAGCACGAAGATCCTGCCATGGGTATTTGCGCTTATTGTGGCCCTCTTTCCTGTAACTTATCTACTGGAGGGCCAGGTGAGAATTAACAAAAGCATTGTTGGAGAAATTGGAATTGGTGATCTGGGGGAGGAAGACAGCAAAGTAGCAACACTTCTGGCTGTTGAGGGTGCAAGAACATCTTTTCTTGGTTTATATGCTGCAATCTTTATGCTTATAGCACTGGAGATAAAGTTTGAGTTGGCTTCACTTATGCGAGAAAAGGTTGTAGAAAGGGGTGGACTTAGACAGGGCCAATCTAGTCAAAATAGCTCGGCTATTGTCCCTCCAAGATTGAGGTTCATGCAGCAACGCAGGGCCTCTATGGCGCCAACCTTCACCATTAAGAGAATGGCTGCTGAAGGAGCCTGGATGCCTGCAGTTGGCAATTTGGCTACAGTGTTGTGCTTTGCAATATGCCTCATCTTAAACGTCCATCTCACAGGCGGCTCAAACCGCGCTATATTTTTCTTGGCTCCGATCTTGCTGTTGCTTAACCAGGACTCAGATTTCTTTGCTGGTTTTGGGGATAAGCAAAGGTACTTCCCAGTTACAGTAGCTATCTCTGTCTACTTGGTGATGACGGCCATATACAGCATGTGGGAAGATGTATGGCATGGAAACGTAGGATGGGGCTTTGATATAGGGGGACCTGATTGGTTGTTTGTAGTAAAGAATCTGGCCCTCCTTATCCTCACATTACCAAGCCATATTGTTTTCAATCGATTCGTGTGGAGCTACACTAAACAGACCGACTCGATGCCATTGCTTATAATACCCCTCAATCTGCCATCAGTCATAATAACAGATATCATCAAGATCAAGATTTTGGGGCTGCTTGGAGTTATATATTCATTGGCGCAGTATCTGATTTCCAGACAGCAATATATATCTGGGTTGAAGTATATTTAGACTACAATATATGTGCTGTATGAATATCATTTAGCAATTTTCAAGCGAGGTGTGGACTTTGCAGGGTTACTTGTACCTCTTCATTCCTTAATTTACACATGAGATTTTGCTTAATGCCTAGGAGCCAGGTCACACAAACTACCAAAATTCTTTTATATGACCCTTAAGAACGAGGACAATTGAAGAAATCTTCTGTTAGCAAAATTTGAAGAGAAAAACGCTCATCATTCTATGCTAGTGGAATGGCAGTTTCTAGTTCTACCTTATCTATGTCATATATTCACTCCATTTTTCTCAACCTTGAAATATCTATGGGGTATAATGCCCAAAATCTCAATTACTAGTTAAAAAAATTATGCATTTTTCAGCTGCAGACGTGTTTTTCAGGAATGCGAGTTGAGTGTCATCTGAAAGCTTGATCTCTATGCATCTTTAGTACTTCCCTATTGATGTCCAGTGGCATACAATTCTCAACTGCTAGACTGATGCAATTTTAAACTGTGGAAATCTTACAGTATCTCCAATGATGGTGTAAAATTTGGTGTCAACTGATATCTTCAAAATCACTTTCGCATCATCATTTATATTTTGGTGGATCTAAATTTAGATTTTGCTTCAATGGAAAGAATCCACTTTTTACTTCTGGTAGATGTGAAAAAAAGAATGTAAATTTACAATTCTTTTTTGGCGTTTTCCGTCGGAAAATGCAATTTGCATTTCATTTTCCTCTCCATTGGAGAGGTTTCTGATCACTTCAAAGATCTAAATCACAATTTAGCTTTATTTTACACCGCGATTGGAGATGTCTTGGAAATCTAATACACAAATTCAAAACACGCGATTGAGTTTAACTACAAGAAAAAGGGAACCAAAAACAAGAAGAATTAAGAAAGAAAATTCAGAAGCAAATTCAAGCCAACACTAGTAATTTCGCCACACACAAGTTAATTAGGGGCAAATAGAAGACAATGAGGATGAATAATAACATCTGTAAACCAAAATCAAAACCATCCATAGTTGGAGTAATTGTTTCTGTATTCATCGGAGGCATCAACGTTAGCTAGTGAGTCGAATCCCGAATAGTCCCCTGTCCTGTCCATACCCTGTTGTTGTTCGGACAGTTCAAGAAACCTCATGTCATTCAAAACTTCATGTCCCATTTCTGAAAGCACTGGTGGCTCGCTCGAACCACCATAATAGCAGCTCGTAATATCTGGTGGTAGTGGTGGCAGTTCAGCCGTGTCATACGTACTATCACTCACCTGCAAATCACGTTGGAACAAACTACTAGAGTTGTTTTGGTTCCATACCTCTCCAGCACTGACTCCCGGGACTTGAAATTGATTCATGTTATTATGATCATTCTGTCCAAAATAGAATAGTTGGTCCCTCGAATTAATATCCTCGACATGTTGTGAATTAGCAAAGAGGTCAGAGAGATGGTGCTGGGATTCATCCGGGGACAAAATGGAAGTGACAGATGAACCAGGTGGCATATCTGAGTAGACAAAGTTGGTGCGAGCTTTGGAGCCCCGCAATGATCGTGCAGACCTGTCATAGGCCAAAGCAGCCTCCTCCGCGGTGTCAAAAGTTCCAAGCCAATGCCTCTCTTTAGTGGAAGGGTCTCTTATTTCAGCAGCGTATCTGCCCCACGGCCTCCTCCTCACCCCAAGAAATTTTGTTGTTGATTGTTCTTGTTGATTCTGGTTCGTCTTCTTCTTGCCTTTTGAAGAAGACGGAGAGTTTTCGCTTGAATTGCTCATGATGGATGTTTATAGTTGCTGGATATAGCAATAGAATCAATCTTAGGGATAGATAAGAAATCTGACAAAGATTCAACTGTCACAGAGGGTGATAAAAAGTGAGATTTTCTGACGAGTGAGAGTGAGTTTTTTAAGGATGTTTTCGACAGTAACATTTCAGGTGTTTAAATAAGCAGCTTGTCAATGACTCCAATGCTGTAGCTTTGAGAATTTTATGAATTTAAAATCAATTCTAAAAAAATCCTGCTCAACTCCTTTGATCATTAGTTCATCACATTCATCATCACATGCACCGCTAATCATCTACTTGTCACCCTGATTAAATACATGATTACACACACAATCTGCAAAACATATGTATATGTATATCTGGTTTTCTGTAAAATAATTCCTGGAAGTTGATATTATGTCACTTACATAGGAAATCACTAGTAAGTTATTAACTGTTATTAAGAGTTGGAAAACTGGCTTCTATTCTTGTGTGAAACTTCAATTCATGGATAGGATTTCTTCCTGGAAACAAAATTTATATGCATATTAATTTATCAGTGAGTTAAAAAGATATCTGGGGAGTGTGTGACACTCATTTTAATGGGTTGAAAATTTTTGAAATAGTGATTGATTGGAGAATGTATGGTGAAAAAGTGATGAAAAGTTTTAGATTTTTGTGTAATATTATTTTATTTGGAGATTGTGTGGTTGAAATGAAAAAAGAGAATGAGAATGAGAAAGAGAATGAGTGCCAAACAGGGGCTTAATATAATTTCTCACCATGACCAACCAATTTCATCTAACATTTTACCTAGCCATCCAACCGCTTTTCCCCATTTTCATTAATTTTAAAAAGGGTAAAATGATAATTTTGCATTATATATATATAATAAATTTTAAAAAAATAAAATAAAAACTTTTTTTATAAAAAAAAATGTTACTTCAAAAAATAAAATAAAATAAAATTTTATTTTAAAAAAAGTTACTTAGAAAAATAAAATAAAATAAAAAGTTATTTAAAAAAAAAAGACATTCCTTAAAAAATAAAATAAAATAATTATTTTAAATTCTTTTAATACAAAATAAAAACTTATTTTAAAATTAAAATAAAAACTTTTATTTATTTATTTTAAATATTTTATATATATAGGGAGTGTTTGACACCCATTTTAATGGGTTGAAAATTTTTGGAATAGTGATTGATGGAAGAATGTGTGGTGGAAAAGTGATGAAAAGTTTTAGATTTGTGTGTAATATTATTTTATTTGAAGATTG